GGAAGGTCTGGAGGGTGGCCAGGGTATGAATCTCCACGGGGAGCTCGTTCCAGAGGGTCGGAGCAGCCACAGAGAAGGCTCTCCTCCGGGTAGTCGCCAGTCGACACAGGCCGGCGGATGGAATTCGGAGGAGGCCTAGTCTGTGGGATCTAATCGGTCTAGTGGAGGTAATTGGCAGCAGGCGGTCTCTCAAGTACCCAGGTCCAATACCATGAAGGGCTTTATAAGTGACGACTAGCGCCTTGAAGCGTAAATATCGCCTAGAAACAAAGCAACGGAGGGACAAATTATTATTGAAAAAATGGGTAATCAAAAGTGCTCCTGGAAAATGTAATGAGCCTCTTTTTTTAGAGCAAGGAGTTTAATACATCTCTTTCGCTGGAATGCTGGTTTTCTGTAGCAAATGTAGTACCTACATTTGTTAGAATGGGTGTTAATTAATGGTAACTAATCAGGAAAGGAAAGTGCTCTTCTTTATTTCTTATTTTTGCCTCGGAGTGCCAGGAAACAGAAGAGAAGTTTGCTCAAAGAGGATACAAGTAGTCCTTGACTAACGACCAGCAAGGGAGCCCAAAATTTCTCTTTCTAAATGAGACACTTAGTGCGCGAGCTATGCCCCGTTTTATGACCACAGTTGTTAAGGCAATTCCCTGCAGTTCTTCGGTTAGTAATGTGGTCCTGAAGTGAAGCTGGCTTCCCCCGTTGACTTCGCTTCTCAGAAGGTCCCAAAAGCAGATCACGTGATCCTGGGACGTTGCAACCGTCATAAATGTGAGTCAGTTGCCGAACGTCTGGATTTTGAACACACAGCAATGGGAACGCTGGAACGGTTGTGTGTAAAATGGTCATAAGTCACCTTTATTGCGTGCTGTTGTAACTTTGAACAGTCACTAAACTATTGTACATCAAGGATTAGGTAAAGGTAATATGTGATGATCATTCCCGACTCTAGGGGGCGCTGCTCATCTCCGTTTCAAAGCCGAAGAGCCAGCGCTGTCTGAAGACTTCTCTGTGGTCATGTAGTTGGCATGACTCAATTGTACGTCAAGGATTAGGTAAAGGTAAAGGTTCCCCTCGCACATATGTGCTGCTCGTTCCCAACTCTAGGGGGCGCTGCTCATCTCCATTTCAAAGCCGAAGAGCCAGCGCTGTCTGAAGACGTCTCTGTGGTCATGTAGTTGGCATGACTCAATGTCAAAGGCGCACAAAATGCTGTTACCTTCCCACCAAAGGTGGTTCCTATTTTTCTACTTCCATTTATTTACATGCTTTCGAACTGCTAGGTTGGCAGAAGCTGGGACAAGTCACAGGGGTTCACTCCGTTACGCAGCGCTAGGGATTCGAACCGCCGACCTTTATGATTGACAAGCTCAGCGTCTTAGCCACTGAGCCACCGCGTCCCTAAGTCAAGGATTAGCTGTATTCAAATTCTAGTGCTTACATGACTATATATCCATGCTCTTGGCTGCGCTGCAGAAATTTGCTAATGTCTTGTTGTAAAAATAGCCAGATGGCAGGTAAGAAACGCTTGGCTAATTTTTTTTTTAACCACACCCTGTGTACCACACCTTATTCCTCTAGATTGATTGAGTGATTTGATTAATTGACTCATTCGTCCATTTTAGCAAACATTTGTTCCCCTCCAAGAAATTAGCTTCTAGGCGCCAAAGAGGAAATGTGACTAAAAGTTGACCAAGCACTCATTCATTAACTTGGGAAAACCTGAATTGGGTTTTATCTCGTATCCCCAATGTTGTCCAGTTCAGGATCATTTGTTCTCCCCCATCTGAAACGATGGAACGATCTCCATTAAAATGAAGGCACCCAGGATAGAAGATTTTAAAAAGCGCCACTTCCCTAACTGGAAGGAAGTTTCACGTGGTTCCCCCGCTGGCTTCTAAGATTACATTGCTCAAATGTTTACAAGGCTTCCATCACACCTATGAAGTCTATAATAAACCTGGTTTATTTGAACTGAGAAAAGCTGTAAAAGTCGGGTGTGTGTGTGAAAACTTGACCCTTTTAAGACTTGAGCATTTCAAGTCCCAGAATCCCATGTTGGCTGGGAAAATTCGGAGAGCTCACGCCCTCAAGTCTTAAAAGTGAACCAAAAGTCTTTGATTCTGACGTCTATGCATACTGTATGTGTCAAATCTAATCCTTGCCAGCTTGGTTCGTACAAAAAGCATGTTTAACTCCTGTTCGGTGTTCACGTCGGCTTGTTTAAAATTCTGTTTCCTTCTTTTCCCCCCCCCTCCCCCCCAAAAAAACCCAGCTGGTGAGAGACAACCTGCCTATTTTATTTATTTAGCTCTCCAAGGGCAAAGTTTGTCAAAAGGGAACCTTGGCACCTCGAACCAAATGCAAACAGAAAAGTTTTTCCTTTAGATTTCCTGACGCGTTGCAGCTCTGGGTCCATTCTGGATTGCTTCTATTAACAAAACAAAAAAAAAAAAAAAAAAAAGCATTTATCTGCTTCCCAGAAGTTTAAGGGCAGTGTTTACTTTAATTCCTAAACTTGAAGTCACAGTGAACTTAATTAAAAGAGCAAAAGAGGGAAGGAAATCTAAAGGAAAAACTTTTCTGTTTGCATTTGGTTCGAGGTGCCAAGGTTCCCTTTTGACAAACTTTGCCCTTGGAGAGCTAAATAAATAAAATAGGCAGGTTGTCTCTCACCAGCTGGGTTTTTT